TACTGTTGGAGATGAGATATTGGGCTAGAAGGCCTCTTGGTCTGAAGCGCTGTGTCCCTTCTAACGTTAGGGTGGATGTACTTGATGCTTTCCTTTTGAGAAACTGCAGGGCCAGCAGACGTCAGAGGTGCTCTTTGTTCACTGCTGGCATCATACCTGTCTTTGCCCCATGCAGACATACCAAGCAAGGGAGTATTTGTACCACCTTGTGAATAATTCTGGTGCCTGAAGAGAACGTTTTTTTCCACTAGGCTCCATGTGTAGTCACTGTAGGACTGAGGTGACTGAGCTCTTTAATTGGCACTGAAATTTCAGAAGCCTGAAAAAGCTCCCCTGTCGTGGCTGGCCGGTAGTCGCGGTAGCTCCTCACAGCTTCCTAGCTGAGGGAGCCTGCTAAGTACTGCAGTACTCTCCGCCAGTGTCCATGTCACGAATGCCTAAGTTCTTTTCCTTACGCCAGGCATGAATGTGCCTCTTGGCATCTGCAGATTTTGCAGCCCTCACCTTAGTTCTGAGGTATTTCATCTGGAAATTGGACTGCTGGGCTGGAAATGCTTCAGTTCAGACCCCTGTACCCTGCTGGCTGCTCCTTCTCCTTCTGCTATGGGTAATTGTGAAGGACTCCTGTAAGGTACTGCTGATAGCTTGTAGTAGTGTTCTCCCCTATGATTTCTGTGGCCTTGCTTTTAATATTTAATTGCCAAGAGGTGAGAGTTTTCCTATTTTTTTCCTGCCCCAACAAAGTCATCAGCAGTGTATGTATGAAGGAGGAAATTTAAAAAAAAAAAAAAAAAAAAAAAAAAAAAAAAAAAAAAAAAAATCCAAAGCTTGTTTTCCCCTCAGCAGAGTCACAGAGTCAGTAAGAGTGACTGGGGAAAAAAAAAAAATATTTTTTTTCTCATCTCAGGTGACAGAAGGTGGAAAGACTTTTCGGGGTGATGCTGGGGATTTAGAGAGGACAGGAGGAATCCCAAGGCAAATACGGTAGCTATTAGAAGGAGAGAGGTTGCAGGAGAGGAAATTCCCTATGGTATATATGCAGGACAAGATTTGGAAACCACGTAATCTTTGTCGCACAAGTACTGGAGTATTCTGTCTGGTCATCTGTAGTGATATGTGAGAAACAGAGGGAAGGGATTGGTCAGACTTCCTGGAAATTCATACTGTGCAACATTGGCCTACATGTGCGTATTTATATCACTGCCTTAAGGCTTGGGGTGGGGGAGTATACAGTTCTGAAGCACATGTTGTAGCAAAAGATCATGGCTGAGTTGCAACTTTGCTTTGAATATGGGGTTTACTTAGGCTTTGTCTAATCAGAAAAATTTTAAAGTATACTGAAAGCTTTGTTCAGTCTTGAGGTCTTGATAAAGTAAAAGATATAAAGATTTCTGGCCTTTTGGCAATCCTCAGTTTTGTGGCCCGTGTAAGGAGGCTATCTCTGGAAAAACTTTCCAGATATTATTGACTTAAACTTTTCAGTAGGCTCTCTTACTGAGCTCTGTCATTGGCAGTGTCACACATTTATTTCTCAGTGCGATGGATGTCTGTAGTGCCAAAATAAAAGTATGTTTAGCATTTACTCTAGTGACAAGTATTTGTTATCTGTGAATTACTACACCTTAGTTCAAGCAATAGAGATACTGTTTTTCATTAAATCGGACTATGACTGGAAAGTACTTTTTTCCTCCCTGCCTTCCCACTTTTTTGACCTAGGTAATAAAGCAAAGTAAGTACCAGGAATGCAAGCAAAGATACCTCAGTGTAAAAAACCTTTGCTGGCTGATGGACAATTAAGATGCCTGTAGAAAAGGCGTTTAAGAAAGCCACTATTCTGTTCTGATGTCCTCTCATGTAATTGTCAGACTGCATCAAAGTCAGTTTTTTGGCTCCCATTCTTGTTGGGTTAAGTCCTTGGTCCCTGTGTTTTAAGTTGTTTTCCTAGGCCAGAGGAAGAGGACGGACTAAAATATTTCCTGATCATTTGTTGCATATGAACATCTCCGTTGGTGAAAAAATTAAGAATATTCTAACTGTTGAACTGTTTGTGTTCTCAGTTCGCAAGGCATATGGAGTGTTCTGGGCAGAGGTGAAGCAACTGTGGTTTGAGGTCACCTGTGGGTCTATGACTTAGAGCTGCTGGGATTAATCATTCTTTGGTTTTGTTTTCTGCCATAACCAACCCTTTTATGCAGCTGAGAGTACAATTCTTGGAGTGACCAGCCTCTGCTTTCAACACAGGTTTATTTTTCGCTGTAATCATAAAACATGTACTCTTACTTTCTTCTAGCTTAAAACTAGAGACCGATATATTAATAGCCTGAAAAAGAAATGCCAGAAAGAGTCTGAGCAAAACAAAGAAAAACAAAGACGAATTGAAACCTTAGAAAAATATCTGGCTGACCTACCAACGCTGGATGATATAGAAGGGCAGACTAAACAGGTAAGGTAAAGGGAGTTTGTTTTACATTTTAAAAATACAAGTAAGCTCCCTACTATCTGTTGTCAAATCTTTTACTGTTTCAACATACATTTCCCCCCCACCACCTGTTTAGGAAGAGAAGTATTTCAATGTTTTAGAAAGCACTATTGCTATTAGGGATTCTCATACTCGGATATGAGAAATGAGCCTAAGATGACATAGAAGGTAACTGCAAGGCTGTGGCCTGCTGCAAGGCCTTCTGCTAATGTGACATCATGTCTGACTAATGTAACCTGTGTTAGCTGCAAATTCTAGAAGAGAAGAACAAGCAACTTCAAGAAACTATGACTGAGTTAGAAAAGAAGCTCGGAGAAGCCCGATCGCAGTGCAGAGAGAGAGAATTGCAACTGGTGTGTCAGAAGAAAAAAGAAAAAGAGCTGGTCACAACAGTACAGAGGTATGAACAGCTGCTTGGGCTGTGCCCTGAAACGGGTATACTTTCCCATCTGATGTCAAGACCTAATATTATTTGCACTCTTAATCTATTACAGTGCTAATGATTTTTCATAGCATAAATATATTACTGTGCAGAATGACACTGTAATGCAATAGAAAATCCAAGACGATTTTTATGCGTCAAGTTTCAAGTAATAGCACAGAGAAGAGTCTGCCTAGGACACACTTCACTACTTTCTTTAAAGATGTGGGACACTGCTGCAATGGCGTCATAGCCTGCTGCCAGATAGAGGATAGAATAAACACGTGCAGCAAAGGGGCATTGTGTAGAAGCTGTCAGCACTCCTATTTGATAACTAATCCTGTCACGAGCCATGGAAGAGCTCCCTAGATATTGGTTGATGGGTATATCAGGGAAGGGTCAAAGATTTAAATAAATTGTAGCTGTTTCTTACCTTTGCACTGAGGGTGGGGTTGTTTACAGAGAGATTTAGCTGTAGCTAATCGGCTTTCGATGAAGTTGCGTAACTATGAAAAAACAAATGGGACAGATATCCATGAGAAGATTCCAGATGATACATGGAGACATTGTTACTATGGTACATTTTAGATGAGGGGAGCTACTTAAACATTTATTTTTAAAAAAAGGGGGAGGAGCAAAGCAGGGGGGAATAACTTTTAATAATTTATGTGGATGTTACTACAGTTCACTGTCCCTCCATTGGGTAAAGGTGCATGCCACAGGAGTCTGAAAGTGTTTCCATGATGAAAAGCAAGCTGGTTGGGACACCTTGCCAGCCAAATTGTTGACACATTTTTTCCATCTTACCAATGAAAGGCCTTTTTTCTTCATGCCCACATAATCTAGAGGGGGATCATTTTGTCTTTTCTGAAAGTCTACAAATAGTTGAGGTGGCCTCTGGTTTCTAAATTAGACAGCAAGATTAACACTAATAAAATGTATTTCCTTTCTGAGAGAAGGTGAGCAGGCAAAGGCTCTAGCTATACCTAGGAGCTTGTGTTGAGCTACAGAGGGTCTGAAGGTCATACCCTCATGTGGGAGCAGCTGGCAGGAGTGGCTTTATGCTCCCCCTTACAAGTCACAGAGGGCATGAAGGATAGGCCACCAGTACTTGGAGTAACCTCCGATTCTGGACTCTGCTTTGAATTGTACATGCCCCAGTGAGAAAGTCTGATTTTAAAGCTCCTGTAACTTTGAGGGGTTCGAAGACTCCTCCGATCTATGCTGGTGCTGACTTTGCCTCCTGCAGTAGCACAGAGCAGCTGTGAACACCACAAAGCTTTTCTTTGCTCCTCTCTGCCCTCTCTCCCTATGCTGTACTGCTGGAGCTGTGCCTTTTGGGAGATGCAGCACAGGATCTGGCCCATAAAACCATTCCTACATTAATCTGTTTCTGTCAGTACCACGGTAACTTCAGTAGTTTAGGATTTTTGCATCATTCATCCACTGTTGGTTTGCTCATCCATAAGGCTGGATTCTGTTAGGTATGGTTTTATCGTTCTGGTTGGAAGATGGTGCAACTTTCTAATTTTTCACTAGAACACACAGCCCTTCTGGTTTCTGTCAGTGCACTTAATTTTTCTTTCATGTTGAATGGCAGTTTACAACAGAAAGTAGAAAAATGCCTGGAAGATGGTATTCGGCTTCCCATGTTGGACACAAAACAGCTTCAGAGCGAGAATGAATGTCTCAAAGAAAAGAATGAGAAAGCCAGTAAGGTTAGTCTGCAAATGATCTGTTGGTGGCATCTTTAACCTTGAGTCCTGCAGGTCTTTATTTTATTACTTTAGAAAGAAATATCTCGGTAAAGAATTATACACTTGTTGCTAATTCAGATTTCTTTTCAATACCAGTCTCTTTCTGTTCAGTATATTTATTTTACATGAATTTCCTGTTCTATCAGAGTTAAACTTTGTCTTGTCATTTACATTTTCAAAGATTCCATTTAAAATCTATGGCTACACACGTGTAAGCTGATTTTTAAAAAAGGATCTGAAGAGATTCAAGCCTTTTTTAAATTACTCAATTTTATATTCTAGGTCATAGACAATCAACAAAATCAGATAGCTGGACTGATTTTAGACATGCAGGTAAGGAAGAGTGTATATGCTGTTGTTTACTATGTCCATTTTTAGTTCATAAAGGTAACATTATTAAAGTTTAATTTCGACGTTTTATTTTCCCAAATAGGAGGCAAAGGTAGAAATGCCAAGAACTTAATCTTATGGCCTGTAGTTGACCCCTGTTCTCTTGCAGGCTCATAGTGTATTCGTTATTGATGTTTGTACGGCTTAGCACTTTGCCGAAACTCATCATGAAGTGAGAAACTGTTGCTATGTAGCATCCTTATTCTGCTAGTCTAGTGGATGTCATATCAGAACTGCCTGTCTCAAGTGTGAGGACTGCCTCTGTAAGTAACAGTGAAGCCTCCCATCCAACTTCGGGGTTCAGATGATCATCCAAAGTACAAAAAGTGATACTGATCAGGAGCTTCACTGCTGAGATCCTTAGTAGAGATAGGTGCCTTTCTAAATCATACCACTTCACATTTCACATCGTTTAAGCAGGTCCCTGTTCAGCTGGTTTCTGACATGTCACTCACTTAGATTATCTTAACTCTCTTGGCGGATCTTGGGCACCTAGCTTGGAGCCAAGGACTTTTCAAGACAGCAGAGGTTGTCAGCTAGGAGTCAGTTGCAGCTCTGTGGATCAGATTAACACGTCAGACTCCTGATACTCGAAAGGTACTTAGTGACCAGTATTTGTTGTGGAGAAGGGGAAACGTTATACAGGTTACGGGGAAGAAGGTACGACTTGCTCTAGAAAAAGCTGAGCGTTTAAAAAAACCAAACATCTGTTTTCAGCAAATACTGAAGCCAAATTCAATGAATTCTAGTTTCTGCATTCTTCTTCTAGATTGGCATTTGTCTCCAAATTTTTTTGCTTCCTTGCCCTCCAGAGAGACTGAAACTATAGAGTTGTCCCTTGAGAATGAAGAAGGCGCTTCTGCTTTGACTCTGTGTACATTAGGTTTGAAAGAACAACAAAATGGTAGTAAACAATCAGCTCAATGCCTGCTCCTTCCAAAGTGGAAGGGAGCACTCTATGGAGCTAGAGTCCAAATAATGAAGAGACACAAAACTGCTTGCATAACACTTGCTAAGAGAATGTGTTTTCTTATTTCCACTCTGCACGCTGAAGCCAAGTTTGCTTATTTGTAGCTGTTCAAAGTAAGTTGTCTTCCACCATTAAAATGCTTCCTTTCTCTACGATGCAGGTAAATAGCAGGCCTGATTCCTGTCGACAACCATATTTTTGCTTGATTAAATTACAGTGTATTAAATACATCTGTAGAGAAGCAGTAGGGGAATTTAAGTTGCAATATAACATATGTCTGTTAACTGAAAGCAGAATCAATCATTTAAGATTCTCTAGGTTTGAAGAAGACAAAATATATCAAATTGAGATGTTTTCACAGAGCAGCCTGTTATATGCAAAATTGTGACACAGGCAAATGTGGTTTTGGATATTTCATAATAAAAAAAAAAAAGTTCAAATTGAACTCCGTAAACTTTCTGAGGTTCTCTGTCCCTCTTCATAGTTTAGTTAAGAATATTTACATATATACTACGTGTATATGTTGCGCTTACAAGAAATATGCACAACTTGCCTAAATGTATTATCACCAACGTCAGTCTTCTCATATTTCCTAAACTTTCTGATCTTTTTCTCTCCATCACCTTTATCTTGAGACTAGTGATCTTTGTGCACATTTATACAGATGACTGTTTTGTGAACTTAGTCTGAAATGACTTTAGGGAGCTGAGACTGGGAAATGCTGAGTAGTTGTGACAGTCTGTGAACAGAGTAGTGTTCTCTTCTCCAGGACTTTCTCTTCCTTTTCCTCTTTTGAGGTATTTTATATAAGGACAGGAAATAAGATTCGAAAATGGTGTTAGCCCTCAAATTACTTGTAGACTACACCAGCTTCTTTGTAACCTTGATCTCCCTGGCCTTCCACATTTGTTTCCTGGGAAGCATTGAAAATTAGTTAATGAGAAACCAAAATCCCTTATCAGCACAGAGATACAACTTATCTTCAGCTCAGAGATCTCATTTTATTCCTTGTCTTCTGCCACATTGTAAACTTATGCTTGAGAATGTATTTCAGTTCATTGTTTTTAACTTGCAAGCTGAAAACAAACAAATACTGTTTCAGACAGCAGTGTATGAAGCAGTACTAGTTTCTATTTGCTCATAATTGTGGTGGAATGATCTTCCTTGTATGGTTTTGCTTGGTTGATTTGTTTTCCTGAGAGTGAGGTGTTAAAATTCTGGTTGGTCTTGACAAGGTGTCATGCTGCATATATAGTACATCCTCAGAAAGAGTAAAATATAGATGAGAGTGGCGTTTAAAAAAATCCATATTTACATGGTTAATTTAGATATCACAAAATTAAAATTTTTTGGTACAAAAAAAGACAGTAGAAGTAAGTCAGATTGTACAATGCCTGTGTTACCCAAAGTACCTCTGTCAATCCTGTCAGTCACAATAAACCCAAACTGTGCCAGGCTGGGAGTAATGCCACCAAATTGTAACTTTGGAAAGCATATGGAAAAACTAAGGGTGAAGGACAGAGGACTCATAGCACTATGAGCAACTGGGAAATCATAGCACTGTGGGCTCAGCCAAGCTGGTAAGCACATGTGCTTTTTCTGAGCTTTAAGACTAGGATAGCAGAGAATGATAGATGTTAGGTGTATCTTTTAGAAATAAACACTGGTTTCCACTTCTAGTAGTTCCCATTAAACAGCACAACTCATGAGCTGAACATGTGCACATTATTTGGAATATTCTAGAAGTTGTTTTTGGAGTAGTTTGCACAGTCATGTAAACTTAGTGGCAGATGTAGTTCTGAAAATAGACTGGGGAAGATAATATTTCTGAACCTGTCTTCCCCACCACCTACCCACCCCCAGGAAGGCTGCACAGTCAAACCTTCAATGTCTGGCATTGACACAAACATGAAACGTGTAAGTGGTAGCACTGTTGCATGTATTGTAACTGGGGCTCTGGGTGTCCCTGAACTTGCCCATGGAAGAGAAGTGCATCAGACCATTAAAATTTGAAGATACTTGGAAGCTGGGAGGGTGTTTTGGGCACCTGCTATTACTGCATTGCCCTGTTCCCCTCCCTAGGCACCTTCTGTCTGGCTGCAGGCAGACAGACAGAGCTAGAGGGACCTTCAGTCTGACCCAATATGGCTCTTTTTCTCAGTAGACAATGTTTTTTAAAAAAAAAAAACTAAGGATGGTGGTTCAACACCAGCGCAGTATTGCCGTGTTCTGCTCATCTGCAAGCACGACAAAGGAAATGCCTGAAGCAGAGCTATTTCCTGCCCTCTCCCAGCCCAGGGTGTTTCCTTTGACGTGGGGCAGGGCCCTCTTTCTTCCTCCCCTTCCTCCCACTGGAGTGTGAAGCTGTGCTTTCTCGCACAGCTTATCTTTAGGATGCATGTTACTTCAGCACTTCCTTTTGGGGGGCACGGTGTCGGTGAACTGAGAAGCAGGTCAAGTGTGTGAAAACAGTTTTAAAAACAAGTAGTCATTTCTGGGTTCTGCCTGCTGATTCTTATTACTTACATGAAAATAAAGTGTGAGGGTTTTTTTAGTCCATATTAAGTGTGTAAATTTTAGCACTACTGTTTTCCAGTTTTGCAAAGGGTATGACAAAGTACTGGCTTTTCTCAGTGCTTGTGCAGCATTGAGCTGAATGCATTGGGAAATTTTGTCACTCCTGTGAGTGGCCAGGCCATTAAAAACTCCACTCAGTGTCGGCCCTGCCTTGCCTGTCGTTACTCCTTGCCTTCTCATCAGCACTAATAATTCTTACAGCTGGCAAGTCAATTAAATGGCTTCTCGTCCACTCAGTAGGCCACATACATGGTAAAGGGCATGCCTGTGCATAGACATAGTCTCCTATGTGCTACAATCCCCAGTACTGGTAACCTGAAAGTTCCATTCTTCATACATCTTAGGAGCAACTCGCACAAGAGTAAATTTGGCTTCTTTTCCAAAGCTAAATTGTTTTCCTAAGACCCCAAAACCAACATAGCTTGACACAATTTGCCATGGTTCTGTCAAGTGGGGAGCTTGGCGTTTTTTTCCTGTCTTTGAATAAAGTTGTAGAGTCATAGTGCAGCAGTTTAAACACATCTTTTACTAAAGAGTGACATCGATCTTCCTATAGTATTTTATTTAAGCTATCATATAGAATTCCCTGTGAGAGAGTTCTCTGCTTTGGAAGAAGAATCATTGGGATTGTTCCTACAGAGATGCAAGAAGAAACATTCTTCTGGGACAGTGTAATTCCATAAATTGAGAGCCATCAGCTTGTAAAATGCAACTTCTCCTCCCCCCATCATGGTCTCTGGTTCCACTCTGTGAAATGTTGCAGTCAAAACTGTGTCAAGGCATGCACCATTGTCACCAGTGCTCCAGCTGTATTTTGAGCTTGATGGGATCGGATTTGCATCTTATAATTGAAATTGGGCAACAGGTTTTACATATTAATGTGCTGAGCTAGGGATGGGGAGGACACTTTATATGCACTGAGCTAGCATAGCATTGGATTTGTGAGTAATACTGTTAACGACAAAAGAGGATTTTTTTTTCTTCGTGAAAGCTGAAAAGATCTCTCTGTTTTAAAGCATTAGGAGTTTATATAATCACTATTCATTGTTATTAGTATTCAGATAAGATGGTTTGCATATTCCTCTTTCTGAGTTTTGCCAGATGACCTTGAAAGACATTTACAGATCTAAAAGCCAACTAGTAGAATAAATGTGAGTGCTTTTAACAACAAAGACACCTGTGGTCATGCTGAATTCACCCCTAAAAATCCACTTTGGAAATATCTCATGATTTCTTAGTTTCAACTCTGTAGGTAAAAACTGGGGAATTGACAGCAGCTGATTCCATGTTGCAGTGGTTGGTGGTTTGTTGCTGCTTGTGACTGATCTGGAAGTCAGTCATGGAAAGCTCCAACACTTAAGTACAAGAGCATCCTAGAAACTTACTGCTTTATTCATTACTGAAAATAGTAATTATTGTATCTGTTAAAAATGACACTATAAACTACAAATAAGTTACTTTTTTGCCTGCAGTTGTTTTTCAGCGCAGTAGAGTTGTACAGACTCTACTGATTTGTCTTGTATGTGAATGGTTTTAAAGAGCTTGCTGCTCTGTATCAACTGTCAAAGGCTTTCTTCTCAGCTGTATAGAAGGTGAGGTGAATTCTCTGTTGTGAAAGGTTGTAGGAGGCCCTGCCATAGTCTTTTGTGGAAAACAGAGGCCAAAAAAAAATCCTCAGTTACAACTTGGGATTGCACAAATGAAGCTTAGCTGTCATTAATCTGCTGCTTATTTCGAGTGAAATTATTTGGTTAGAAAAAACAATATTGTATGGTTATTTTAGCCTTCACGCATTCCATATTGGAGTAATGTTTTGCATACGTACAGTCTTTTTCTTCTAAAGAGATACTGATTATTTAAAGGGTTTCACTGATATTTGGAGTAGCTGTGTTAGTATACAGAGAGCTGTTGGGGTCCAGTTGAATATTACCAAGTGAACATGGTAGAAAATAAAACATGAAGGATTAATACAAAAGCAACAAGTAACTGAAACATAGAAATTTACTGAGGGTGCATTTTTTGTCAGTGCTAATATAAGTACAAAAATTTTAAATCATTACCTGTGTTTTCATTCAATTTAGTCTATGCAAGAGAAGCTTTTGCAAGAAAAGCTGATAGTTCAGAAGATGACAAATGAGCTTGAAGAAAAAGAAAGGAATATAGAGCAGTTAAATAAAACTCTCTCTGAAGTAAGTAAAAACTCCAAAAACCCAACCCCTGACCACACCAGCTGGGAAGAACCTATAGAATGATTATAAGATCTCACGGTAGGGCTTTATGAGCTTAATTACATACTTGACTGTGCTGGCTGCCATGCAGACATATAATAGGTACCATCCCTACCTCAGGAAGTGAGAACTTCAAGGGTGAAAGCTGCTGAGCAGTGGTAATTTGAAATAGACAGACACGTAAAAGCTGTCTATCTGCCATTCTTTAGAGGGGTACAGAAATACTGATTACATATATGGAAATTATTTTTAATTATTTTGTTTGTGGTTTGAAACAGGAAACTTTCTGCTACGGTGCATGCTGCAGACTAACTTTCCCCTTTTTTCCTATTTGCTTTTCACAAAGAACCAAAGACTGATGGAAGAGAATGCCTCCCTGAAGGAGCAGATGCGGCAGGTGGAACAGTCCAGGCAGCCAGTATCTGAGAAGATGCCTATAGCAGACCAGTTGTTCAAGGAAATGTCCCATTGCTTGTTTGACTTGAAAGCACTGTGCAGTATTCTTACCCAGAGAGCTCAGGGCAAGGAGCCTAACCTTTCCTTACTGCTGGGAATCAGATGTAAGTGATGTTGTCATTCCAATGCTTAATAGAGTTTTGACACGGAGGAGTAACAGTTTAGCTAAGTGGTGCTCAAACTTGCCAGCTGGACAGGCCAGTGTCCCCCTTGCTATGCAGCTGGAGCGGTTGTGTGTGAAAGGTACTCCTGGAGCTCGCTGGAAAAGCTGGGCTTTTAATGCACCTGGGCTGCTAAATGCATATGACTACACAGGTCCTTGCCAGGTCAGGAGAGAGGGTAGCTGGCTCTTGATATGGACCCAATCATTGATACGTTCACCCCTCTAAAAAGAAAGGTGTGTAGCCAGGTGTCCGTCCCTCCTGAGGCACACTGCAGTCACCCTGAGGGTTAATGGATGCTTTTCTGTCAAACATGTTGTGCCCTATAAACTCATTATGAGGGAGGAGAGGCATAAGCAGGCCTGGTATGGCTACATCACGTGTTTTTGTTTTAAAGCCCTTGGGGTTAAGTGGTAGGAATATACATCTACTGTTTGAACATATGTATGTATGGTTTAGAGGTGGGGGTGTCTGCGTGTATTAGATAAGCTTAGTGCCAGGCAACTCAATCTCCAGTGCTGTTAATGGCACATCTAGTCTTCAGCGCTTACTAAGCTGTTAAATTTAACCAGGAAATGAGAAGCACGCCCTAAAGCCAGTCAGACAAAGCTTCAGCGTAGTGAGTTCGTATTAGGTCTTTCCTTTTAACAAGCTTAACAGACATTTACATTTTTTTTGACCTGAATGTATTACATTCTGTTGTTTTCTGAGTGTTAATTAGAATTAATCAGATAGATCGGTTGCTGAACTGGACCATCAGCAAGGTAGAAAGGTAACAATATAGTATCCTGTGCAGCAAGAGCTACTACAAACCACATAGACTCATCTGCACTGTAACCCCCTGAAGTACTGGGCAGTGCAGCATATGCCCATCTGAAAGCCCATGAGATCATCATCAGCCAGTGGGATGAATAGTGCAGTATATCTGTAGTACTATTTCATCATCTTTCATGGCCTTATTTCCCAAGCTCTCCTATCCCTCTTTTCTGAGTGGCTACAGAAACCTCCAAAATCTGTGGGAAATGGCTGTCCTACTGTCGTGGTTTAACCTCAGTCAGCAACTAAGCACCACGCAGCCGCTCGCTCACTCCCCCCACACCCCAGTGGGATGGGGGAGAGAATTGGAAAAGCACAAGTGAGAAAAACTTGTGGGTTGAGATAAAAACAGTTTAATAATTGAAATAAAATGATAATAATAATAATATTATAATAATAATAATACACAAAGCAAGTGATGCACAGTACAATTGCTCACCACCCGCCGACCGATGCCCAGCCAGTCCCCAAGCAGCGGCCCCCCCGGCCAGCTTTCCCCAGTTTATGTACTGAGCATGACGTCACATGGTATGGAATGTCCCTTTGGCCAGTTTGGGTCAGCTGTCCTGGCTGTGCCCCCTCCCAGCTTCTTGTGCACCTGCAGCCTTCTCAGTTGGTAGAGCATGGAAAACTAAAAAGTCCTTGGCTAGTGTAAGCACTGCTTAGCAACAACTAAAACATCGTTGCGTTATCAACTTTGTTCCCATCCTAAATCCAAAACCCAGCATTGTACCAGCTACTAGGAAGGAAATTAACTCTATCCCTGCCGAAACCAGGACACCTACCCAGTTTTTTCACTACTGTTGAGATCCATCAGACTTTAGCAAGTCTAGATCTTGGTGCAAACAGCACAGCATGTCTTTCAGAGAAGCACTGATGGGCTCTGAATTGACTTTAAGTTCACACGGTACCACATTTTATTGGCTTTGTGTGGCAAGGTTTTGGTAGCAGGGGGTGGCTTCTGTGAGAAGCTGCTAGAAGCTTCCCCTTTGTCCAATAGAGCCAATGCCAGCCGGCTCCAAGCGTGATTTGTCTTGATGTAATTAAAGTGACCTAGCCCTTATTTCAAGGGGGACTTAACTAGTTGAAGTATTCCCAGAGCACAGCTGCTAGAGCTTTAACCTTGGCTGTTGTTTTTCATAGCACTGAGCTGTTCAGCTGAAGAGAATGAAAACTACCACAGCACAGAAACCCTTTCGAAGAAGCTCTTGGACGTTTGTCAGTTACGAAAGGATATTGATGAATTAAGGACTATAATGTCGGACCGTTATGCTCAGGACATGGGGGACAATTGCATTACTCAATGACAACATTTCATCTAGTAGCGAATGACTTATTAAATGCTGCTGTGTCACAGGTCTTTGCATTTCTATTAAGGAGCCATATTGGAAGACCGCAAATAGCACCGCACGTGCATCTCTCCGAGGATTGTGAATATTTAATCTCGGGAGTCTGGTGGGGAGGGGAGAGTCATCGTTTGAACAGAGTGGTACAAACTACAGGAAGTCTTTTCTCCAAACTACTGAATGTAGGAACAAGCTGTGAAGAATGATTCAGTTGGATACTCTGTTTCCTTCATTAGGGCTCATTTTATTACTTCACCTAGTTTCTGGAATCAGAGCATGAAAACAGCCGTGCTGCTATTACTCTCAGTCCTTTCCTTCATCAAGGGTTTGTATGGCATTATCTGTGTTCTGAAATTAGAGCAGAGGGTCGAAGGACCTATAGCTGTATGTGGTGAAGCTAGAGGCTTCTGCAACTGCACTTCACTCTAGGAATTGCAATTGGAACAATCTTGGAGCACTGCAAAAAGTAGTTGCTTTTCAAGTTGCCTAAAAAATTTAGGATATAGGGAAGATGATGTTTCTAGTAATGGATGTCTAGCTTGTTTGCCCAATAGCAGAAGAAAACCAAGTTTTAATTCCTTTATGCAGATGAAGTCCGTAAAATATAGTGCTATCAAATTGTTTTAAGCACGCTCACATTGCTGTAAGAAGTTTCAATAATGTGAAGTCTATGACAAACCCAGAGAAGCCGGAAGGCGTGAAACTGCAGCATAGTATGTGGCTGTCAGGAGAAATTTAAAAAAAAAAAAAAAAAAAAAAGGCTGTATTTTAGTGTTTGTACCATACTTATTTTTCCCTTAGGTCATCTCCATTTTAAGATGTGGCTGGTCTATATTCCATCCCTGAAGGCCTCTGATGAGGTCGTGAACCACCTCAACCATTTTTTACCACAGCTACAAAACGGGTGTTTGGCACTTGGCAAAATCAGGGCTCAGAACAGAATGTTTCCACTTAAGCAGTATTAAGTACTCGGTTATCTGAGGACTGCAAAATTTTCCACATTGTTTGGGAATTCTTTATTTCTCCGTTTATGTAGGAAGCAATTACATTAAAAAAAATAAGATCATGTTCCATAGTTTATTCAGTGAGTGTCACTTGGCAGTACTGTTTCACTCCTGTGGGACAGTTGACATATTAACACTTCTAATTTCCTGGAACATTACTGCAAGTTAGCTGCACAGTTGTACATGGTGTAAAATAGTATTTAACTGAAGGAAACAAAAACTTGGGAAGAGCAAAACCACTCTCAAATCACACTGTTAAGAAAATATATGAGCATCAGTTACATATGTGGTATTAAAAGAAAGTTTCAAATTACTAAGGTGCAAGTGAGTCAACTGACTCGTAGTGTGGATAACAGCAGAAATATCTTAGAAAGCTCAGCAGTTAGAACCAAGTAAATTCTAGGGCAACGTTTTTATGGCAAAAGCGTTAGTATCTTCAGCTTTCTGATTATATTTATGTTAATAGAAAAAAAGGAAGGTATAGCAATGTAAACTGGTTACCAGTTTTAAGTTGGTTTTCCTTTCTGTTCATTGTTAAACAGTTACCGTTAATGTTGTTTTTATAATTTAGTGATTTAATTTTTTTTTTAGCTATATGGACTTATTTATTTGATGTTTTTCTCTAACCTGAACCTACACATGGACTGATTTGTAAAAAATAGTGTTGCTATTTATATTATTGCTACATGGTGTTTTCAGATAGATTAATCTGACTGGTTCGGCTCCTGTGAGCACTAAAACAGTGTCTAGATGAAATCTCCAGTGAAATTGCCTAGTGTCTCTACTTCAAGGTAAAAAACGAGGCCATTTTATTTTAAAGTTCTATGCTCTTTCTGTAGGTTTGAAGGTGTTTATACTAGTGCAAAACTGAACACAGGGATCTTTGCACAAATGGGCTTGCACGGTTTCCTGTGCCTCTAGCAGTATTGGCTTTTGTGACTAGGGCCTCAGCTCATTCCTTTGGTGTAGTTCGTTGGTTTTGGCCCTGCAGTGAAGTAATAGTCTCCAGTTTACGGCATCTGTCTCGTATCAGAATTCAATAGCACTTCAGATAATAAACCAGAAGTGTTAGGGAGAGAGGAAACACCTAAGTTGCACGTTATTATTTCCTTAGATGACAATGTTGTACCTATAAAAAATTACCAAGCAACACATTTTTCTAAATTTGGTGGAAATAACGAAGTGTTTAATAGAGCAATTAGAGAGGAGCAGGAGGTTTCTTTGAGTCACTTTGAACTATTAAGCTCGTCACTTGGCTGGTGTGCCTCCACTGTCCCTCCTCTTCAATGGTGATACTGTACTGCGGAGTTGAGATCAGTAATTTATATTTGCAGAGCACTTCAGGAGCTTTTATGCTCTTCCAAGTATTATTGAAAATCCCTCAGGAAGGAGATCCCATTTTATTTGTAGTACTTTGATTGCAGTGCTGTAATCTTGCATTGTAATAGTTTTGTTACAGAACCTGTAATATTTATGTTAATTTTAAAGCACTTGATTTTAAAAAACCCTGAGTTTATCTGCCTCAGTCAAATTAAAGTAGGGAGGTAAATGATGGATGTATGAGCCAAAGATGCAGACGACCAATTGACTATCTACAGCGATACAGTATTTTGCTTTGATTTCTTAAAATTTGGCCTGTTGTAGTAGTAGCAATTACTATATATGCATCAGTTTACAGATGCCTCTAAATGGAATAAGCTTTGTCTAAGATATGCATGATTGTTTAATTGGTTAAAATGTAGTGTGTGTGGTCTCATTCAGCATATTTAATACAGATTTGATTAACAAATGTTAACATTGGAATTGCTTAGATTTAGTCATGACAACTTTTTGCCGTAGCTATTAGACAATCTCAAGGGCTGAAAACAACCGCTAATGAATGGATTCTGTACCGTTCCGGCTGTCAGCAAACTTGTACAGTAATTTTTGTATAGTTTCAGGTTGAATTTATACAATCCTTTAGAAGATATTTACAGTAACTACTGTATTCAAGAATGTATTTTGAAAAAGACTTGGAAAGTAACTGTCTTCGGACAAGCTGTAGATGATGCTCTATGTATTTACTATATAGAAGTAACGCAGCTCAGTTGTGTAAAAGTGATTTAGGTTGTTAGCCTCCGCTGTGCAGCTTTGTAGTGTGATAGTTGTCTGAAATTGTGGAGATTGCTGTAACCACCCACTTGGGCTCCAGCACTCAAAACTGCCGGTGGCCGCGAAGTCATTACAAGAGCCGAAATTTTGTCCTTTTCACTTCAAAAGGTTTCCTTCCTTCCCTGGCCCTCGCTGTGCCCGCCTTTTGTTGCAGATGTTTTTTCGGACATTTTTCTTGCAGGGTAAGAGCATAAGGAAAGAAAGCAAGCAAACCCGTTCCTGCACGACCTGCTGCCCTAGCACGGGCGGCGGCAGCACGCTGCAGTCTCTCTGCATGGGCATAGTTTGCTCCAGTTTTCCTTGTCCTTATCAATGATGTTATGCAGGTGGAGTTGGAGGTATAATTGGGCTCTTCTCATTGATGTGACAAGTTCTGTCACGAGTGGGGAAAAGATCTTCTGAACTAATCTGCATTCTTAGACTGCAAACAAATCAATGGTTATTGTCTAAAGGGATGATATATTCTGGTAGCTCATTAGCAATATTAATTCCACAGCTGCATACCTTTGTGCCTTTTTTGCCTGAAGTAAGTGTATATTCCCCTTGAACTTTAGCTAAGTTGTTAGGATGCTGATGACTGCACCTCGCTTTCCTCTTACCTGCCGATATCCTGTTCATAAGCTTTTGTAGTAAGAACTCTCGCATAATGTCTAGAAACAGAAGTACTTAAACTAGGTACTAGGTGTACACTTTGAATGTTAGGCTGGTTGTAGTATGCAGCTTTTTTGAATATGAAGCGTGAGCAGGAAACTCAAATCATAATGTGTTTATTTTGTGTATATTAATTGCAGTATATCATTAGTTCAGTGGGGAGGAGTATCTGGAGCTATCTTTTAAAAGCACAGCTGACATATGTACTGGATCAGTCCCTGAAGACTGGTAGTTTTGTAAATTGGGTTCAATTTTTGAACCACTCAGAATACCTCATATGTAAATAGAGTTGTCATGACTTAATCACAATATGTTCATTGTAAAAAGTAAAGGAGCCACTGGCTGGCTCAGCTTTAGGCTTGTTGTTCTTGCCTCTTTTTGTAATATTTTTAAAGTAGGGTTTACAGCTAGAATTTTGAATGCCAAAGTTCTATTTATTAAATAATAATAAAAGTTTTCATTGTTAATGACTGGTATTTTTCCACTGGAATTTGTTTGTTGATGTTTGGGATTTGTATCCACAGAGCAAAAATAAATTTTGTTATAAAAGTGATTTCTTTGTGCTTCTCATTTGTCCAATATCTGGCATGTGGCGGAAGTGACCAAAGCTGGACCGAGGGCAGGAGACAAGAAAGGAATCGTGAAAGGTCTTCTCAACATCCACCCCAACTTTTCTTCAGTAGTCTGTAGTTCTGCTTGAGTAACAGCTGACTGAGCTCTCTTCCTGGCATTAATTTATTTTTTTTTTTAAATAAATTAAAAAAAACAAGGCCTTGGTAGCAAAAATATTATATCAGTGTAATGAAAGTATTTTAGAGCAGAGTTTCTTGTAAAGTCCCTGCTGCTTTTTTAGGCAGGTGCTGCTGTTGTCCATCTCGGATGCTGATGGGAGAGATCACAGGTAGGACTTTTAAAAAGACTGAGTTGGCACAAAACAGTAGGCAGAAGTGTTACAATAGTTTTGAAGATGCTGAAAGATTCATCAGCTTTGGAACATGTGGTGGCCCCAAAGCCAGTCACACAGGGCAAAAAATAAAGCTGGATGATGAGGCAAAACCAGCAGCGTGTCTGGTACCAAGGAAAAAACTGGGGCTCAGAAAGGATGTGGTTTTAATTACTATTTTTCAATTAGAAAGCAAAAATGGGTGGCTGGTCAGACTGAGCAGTAGTTAAGGCAGTCAGAAATCCCTGCTGCATGAAGTAACACAGGTCAGTATAGTCCAACACAACCGAGCAACGTTGACTTCCCTTCCATGTCAAGTTAGTGCAGTCTGAGGAAAAGTCAAAGGTTAAGGATTTTAGTCGGTGTAACAGGAGTCTTCACAAGTGCTGAGGGAAGCGGGGTCACCCAAAAATGGTTTCTTTTCTGACAGCTCCCCATGAGAAATCTTAGAGCCTGTTTGGAGCATCAAGTGCTGAATGAGCTTTGTGTGCAGAGTGCTGTTCCCCTCTTCCCCCAGTATACTGTGCTGTGCAGAGCACAAAATTTGACGCTACCTCTTCTTTTCAAAGACACTGGGAAATTCACTTTAATTAGCTAATGCGTTATATGTGCTAGAGATCACTTGCTCTTCTCCAGCCTTGTGACTGAACATCAAACGCTGGGCTTCTAACTCAATTAAAAACGTTCTGTGCCATGTATAAATGTATGCAAAGGGCTGCACAGGTGCCAACTTTCCATAAGATTTCTGAGGGTGACCTTTTGTGACCTGCTCGAAGTCAGGTTTAGGTTTCAAAGTATCATGATTAAAGCACTGCTAACAATAGTAGTGGTAGAAAATGTTCTGCTGCCTTTATGCCACAAACAAAATACAACTCCAAATGTGGCTAAAAATGAAACCTTAAACAATAACGCTGCACGTAACACCGCAGCATCTTGATTGAGGTCAACTTGCAACAGATAAGTCTGCAGTAGATCGCCTAC